TGGCCACAGCGGCCGAAGACGGCGGAAGCTGCGCAGGGCACACCTGGGCGGCAGCACTTTGGGAAAGGCGCCTGTAGGCGGAGCAAAGATTCAGCAGCCAAGATTGGGCTCCCGGTGGCTCTTCTGCCAGGAGAGGCTCTCGGGGGCCGCCCAAAGCCCTCGAGGGGGCAAACGGGGGCAGTGGCTGAACGGCGCATGGAGGCCCCGCGGCTGCTGCTTTGTTATTTTTAAACCGTTGGAAGAAACGTCCTCCTGGGTTCGGCTCCAAGTGTGGGAAAAGACCCTGGAGACCCGGAGGCTGCTTGGAAAGATGGTTTTAATGGTGGACGGGGCCACGTGGCTGGAGCTCCTGAACAGAAAAGGTGGGATCACGTGCTTCGGCGTTGGTGGAGAAGAGAAGCTGAAAGTCCCTGGTTTTATGCTCTCTCTGGCCTTTGATCTTGAGCTTGCGTTCTGATTGGTTGTCAGACTCCCATGAGGCCAATGCAGGGGCAGCTCTCTAGGCTGCGATTTGAATCCAGGTTTGGTTGAGTCTTAAGATGCCATGTGGGGAGTTGGGTAAAGGGCCAATATTATCATGCCTTAATCCCATTACTCGGGGGCTGAAGGGGAGAACTCTTTATTATGTAAAGTGGACAACGGGGGATGGGCAGGAAGCGGCAGGAAGCTATTCTGTCTTTTAAAACACGTTTCTTCCTTTTCACATCCAGAGAAATATTCTGCCTTTTCAATATTTCTGGGAGAGGGCTGGGTTATAACTTCCTACAATATTTTATTATTTACTATGGTAAATATGTGGCTCATTTCTAATCGTTTTGGAAAGTACAGACTTTACAACCTACACTTGACTCTGCGCCCTTCATAGCAATTTGAAATGGAACCGTTTTCTTAGTTCCTCCAATCCTAATTGTTTTGAAGAGGAAAAATGTTGTATTCAGATTTGTTATTTGGATGGATTTATTGGAAGAAATGTCCATCTGGGTTCAGTTCCAAGTAGGGAGAAAGACAGTGGAAGCCTGGAGGCTATTTGGAAAGATGGCTTAATGGTGGACAGGACCACATGCCTTGATGTCCTGGGCAAAATGAGCACATGGGGGGGGAGAGAGATTTATACCTTTTCTTGCCCCCCCCCCCCTTGGAGCTTCCTGTTCCTATGTAAGAAACGTATTCTGGTTGGTTGACAGACTCCCATGGGGCCATGCAGGGGTAACTGTAGGTTACCTTGAGTCCCAGGCTTGGTTGTATCTTGCTGAGTGATGCAGTCTCCCCGGGTGCCCTGTGGTGAGTTCTGTTCAGGTAGAGGGCTAACCCTATCATGTCCCGGGGGGGGGGGGGGCTCTGTCCTAATCCCATCAACCTGGAGCTGAAGGGAGAGGAGGGCAGGAGCTGTTTTGTCTTTAAAACATGTTTCTCCTTTTTTCATCCAGGGAAATATTTTAATAGTTTCTAAAATATTTCATTCTTCTAGGAGGGGGGTGGATGCTAACCTTCTTCAGATTGGTGGTCAAGAATACTTCGTAGAGACACCCTCCTCTCGAGTAATGTCCATTCTTATTACACTAATATTGATCTTGGTTCTTCATGATAATTTCCATAAATTTGTGTATGTATTAGAAACCATTTTTGTTTTTAATCGTGTGGTTTAAGGATTGTAAAATGCTTAGAGTCATATATGAGGGTAGCATCCATATAATCCTACAAATAAATAACTACATCACTTTGATGCTATGAATTGTCACTGTATTCTTATAATAAGAAGTGCATTTTAGTGCTTTGCAAAGTATTTCTCTTCCGTGGTAATCTGGTAACAAAGCCCTCAGAATTCATGTGGTTACTGAGTGGCTTAGATTTTAGGAAGCATTGATATCAGAACTTTCATTGAACTTGTAGTGAAAAAAGGTTGAGGTATAATTTTGCAGCTATTTCCCAACCTCTTTCACTTCCCCATGTAATCAGGCATGACAGGACCGAGGATGTTTCTAGAGAAAGAAAAAACGGGAAGTGTACTTTTTTTGGTTAAACTGATGCTTGCACATTTTCGAAGCAGCTGGACTATGTATGCGTGCCATATTAAGCAATACAATANCCTCCAAATCAACAAAAGAAGAAGAAGGCCAAGGTTTGGAATGGCCCAGCCAGACCCTGGACCTAAATCCAACTGGAAATCTCTGGAGTGGCCAGAGGAGAGCTGTGCGCAGGAAATGTTCAGGCAGTCTTTCAGATCTGGAGCACTTTGGCAAGAAAGAACGGGCATGCTGATGGGCTCCTACCACTAAAGGCTGAATCCTGTCATAAAACCAAAGGGTGCGTCCTTAAGCAAAGAATTGGTTCTAGGGTCTTTATGCAAACATATTATTGTACCTTTTTTTGTCGTCCCCTCTAAAAGATTTCAGTTTGTTTTTCTATTTTTCTGTCTTATATGCTATGTTAAAAGTGGAAAATCTGAAGTTATTTATCTTTTTATGTTTCTTTACATCTAAAAAACCTGGCATTTTAACTGTGGTATGTAGACTTTCTATATCGCTGGATGTGGCTCATACTATACATGATGCCAATTCCTGTCTGGTCACACCCGTGCCAGACTCTTATACTACACTAAACTGGGCTGCTCTCAAAGTTAGACCACAATTACAGTATCAGTTAGTTGTGTGGGAGGCAACTGTCAGCAGGCAAGGAAATCACTGATGCTACCAGGATGCTAGCAGGGCTTCTGCATAAGAGCTTTATTGCCATAAAATTCCCAGAGCAAAACAAATTTAAATTACTGAATATACACCTATACGCCAGTTAAGAGTTCAAAAATTACATGGTTTATAAACCTGAAGAACACGTAGGTATTCCTGAATTTTAACACGTGAATGAAAGACCCATCTCTGATTTTCTCTTCCAGGGAAATTATGGTAAGATTGATTCATTGCTTTCTCAATGATAGTGAATCTGGAATTTTCTGTCTCCATAATTAAACCTGAGATTTTGGTGAACTGTTTGTAATGTTTTGATTTTTTAGCTAACGTTAAACCATTTAGGTTACTGCTTTTACGCATGAAAGTTCATTTGACATTTTACAGACAGGAAAAAAAATAGAAAAATCTTACTGCTTCAGTGCCTTCCTCAGACTATGTAGTCTGCAATAAATGTGAAACACTACAGTTGTTTGTATCACTTCCTTATTCCAGCTTGAAAATATGCCTCATCTATACATTTATAGATTAAGTTTGTATGTGATTAATTTATGATATTTTTTTAATGTTGAGTGAATTTTGCCAAGGTAAATCCTGCTTAGTTAGCCATGGTCCATCTTTAACATTAAAATGTTCTATGTGTACATGGTATAATAATTGAAGCATTTTCTATCTTTAAATTGCTGATCAGACACTCATTTTGCAAATTCAGCATGCTGCGGTTTAACCAAATCAGATGGTATCCAAATATCTGAAACAAATAGTTCCGAAATTTTGCTTAAAGGTGCAGCTTAGTTCTATAGAAAAAATTAGGAAATATTTTGGATTAAATACCAGATACTTAAAATAATGCATCCTGAATTGGTTGGAAACATAACTGGTTCTTATTGATAATTTGTACAAATAATCAAAAGAGAGCAATCGGCTAATAATCTAAGGGAACCAGAAATCATACACAAAACTAGTGATAAATTATACAGTGAATGTACAACTGTCCAAAACCCTGATTTTTCAACATTCATTAAAATTCTACCTATAAAAGGTGAGTCCT